CTAAACAATACTTACGGGAGTCTCGGCCACACTTGCACAAACTTGTCCTGTCCTTGTCCTTCGACAATGTCGGCACATTCGTAGGACTGTCACCCCCATGGATCGAATGGTATTGTCCTATTGTTAAACACTAACCAAAATTAGTAAACAACATGGCGGACTCGACTCGCCGGAATGCCCGGGCGTCGATCATAAAAAGTGTGGATAGCTGCTCGAATTCGCCACTCCGGTTCAAATTTTGAGCATAAACGAATATTATACAGTACAAGGATTGCTGCCGCTGCCCCGCGCGTTAGGTATTCCCCCCTGTTCGCCTCCGCGCGTGCCCGGACACTCCCTCGCGTGTCCGGGCGTTAAATAGTAGGACCGCCTGTTTCCCTGTCTGGGAAAACCCTGCATTATTTCAGACAGATACAAACATTTTTTGGCATGCTGTCTTGATGAACTTACTCTACACGGATATAAATTTTTGTCACCAGGTCAGTGGATATGTCTCCTTACATGACGGCGATATAGTTGTATTTGGTCATCTTGATGGCATTCTTATCAAGCCAGGTGCTTTGGCACCACAACCAAGGTCAGAATTTCAGTTTCAGGTGAGTGATTAGTGTTGTATTGTGAAACATTATTCTGTGCCAAACACTCCATACACATACTGAGGCTGAAAATTATTCTCATTGATACGAGTCTTGTGTATACTCAGTTTGATACAAGTCTTGTGTATACTCAGTAAGAACACCACACTTAAATGAGCACCTAAAGTTGTATTGTCTTCAACATTTTGTTTGAAGCCTTTGTCATGTGAAATACTGATTATATGCAACTGTCACTGAATCACACACATAATTTTATATTTGATTTTTTACCACATCACAAAATCAATATGAACTACCAGTAATTCCTGTTAAGATTAGTCTGCGATGCACACCAGAATTGTTTCCTACATACCATGAACCACTTTTTTTTTGGTGAGAGACAAATATGTGAGTCATTAAAAATCATGAAATGTTGTACCAGTAAAAATGTCTGTGTCCTACAACAATATCAGCGACTTTTGTGAAATTTTGTATTGACAAATGTCATAAAATTATCAAATCGCAAACAATTCTAGCATTATTATTATCAATAACACTGCAGCTGTTGAAAGCCTCCATAAACAGCCAAAATAAATGGGGAAAAACGTCAGCAATGTGTTAATCTGTCATTACTAAGAATGATTGCATTTCATGATTTGAGAGTGTTTTTGCTGATTTAAAGCGGGGGTGTCATCACCTACGCATGTGTCAGGTGGTCACAGCATGTCATTGTTTACAAACAAGTGTCTACCCATGAGCTTTTGCTTTATTAGCTGGCAATGTTATCATTGCTTGGCAATCAATTCTAGCACGTGCGCAGGTGATGACCCTCTCGCTTTAACAGTGACATTAATAATGACAAAATTTTATGATTTTTACTCACGAGAATTTGTCTTTAGCAAGGATTTCACGTTGCAATATTTCACCTGTGATTTTCAATAACTCTCATGAAATTAAAGCGATTAATTCACTAAACTTTATTTACTTATATGAACAGCAAACATTGCTATTTTATTTTACAGTTTGAAAGGATATCTGAAGAGATAAAAGAAGAGATTCCACCACCCGGGCCAGCTTTAACGAACCCTGTTCTAACAATGAAATGGAATACTAATGTTATTTCACCGATGAATAACATCATATCTGATAAATATGATTTCCCCGCTCTTAGTACTATAATACCAAATACAGAAAATAACAGACATACGCCAGTTCATGGCCTGATGAAAGCATCCTGTAAGCCAAGGCAAATACTACCAAGTCAGACAAAGTATGTTTTATCTTTTATTATTCTTGTACAAACCAAACATTTATTATTCTCCAGAAACTAAATTATGCTCATATCCGTTAATGATGGAACATCTGTAGATTTGTTTTTTCATTTTAAATCTAATTTCACTGCATAGCTCAATCCATTTGTGAAACAATGAAAATAGAATCTTGCATGTGACTTGTAAAGAGTTTTTTGCAATAAATTGCTTGCACAGCACAAGCGAATATGAAACTAACGGCTGAGTTCATTCATTTTCCGGTCACACTTGCGCTATGTTCAGAGATGTTGCTTAGCTGGAAAGTATTTTAAGAACCAAAATAATGGGTTGCACACAGTCTCTAAAAATTCAAGCTGCATTCGAAATTATCGTTGTTTGTCTGCTTTACAGTTCATGTGGGAGCAGTTTAACATCTTCATTTGATCAAAGTAATACAGGTAAGTTTGTTGGATAAATACACTTCACAGTAAATTATAAATAGCGTACAATCTATGCCGTGTCACACTTGCTATACACCACTTCTCGACTGCATAGTTACAATGCTAGTAATATCTCATTGTGGCCAATTAATTTAATTTTTCAAGAACAATTCCAAATGTGTTTGAATGGCTAGAGAGATATTACTGCCATTGTTGCTAGGCATGAGAGAAGTGGCATATAAATTATATGCTGGATAATGACTAAAAATTTATTTAACAGAGCAGTTTGAATTGATTAAAACAATTGTTACTTTCTACAAATATACACAAATGGTCGTTGAGATTTTGTTAGGAGTGAGAAAGTCATTGGGCTTCGTTTTTCCCCCTCAAATAGTTTCTATACTCTTCTATCATCATGTACCACTGATCTTATGGAATCATCGTATTTGAAACAGTAAAGGATATGATTGGGGTACAAAAACCTGTCTCTTTGCTCTCTCGCTTTCAACGATGCGAGATATTGATTTGTTGAACTGATTGGCTTCATGTGTATTTCTCAGAACTGGAAGACCTGGAATTGTTAAATCTTGCTGCTAAAGTTGGTGATGAGATTGATGGTTTTGACAGCGATGATGACATATTTAGTGGAGGACATAGACGCGGAAGTTTATCACCAATATTGGGATGGGTCCAGTCAGAGAACAGAAAACAACAAAAAATTGGTAATGTCTATTAATAAAAACATTCACTTGAACTGTTCATTATTGTCATACTGAGAAACTGTTAAGGCAAAAGAGGAACTAAAATGTTTTGTTTTGATTGCAGGAAAAGTTGCTCCTAAAAAACGAAGGACTGCTCCATATCAGAAGAAAAAAAATTTGAGTTCAACAACTAAGAAGACAGCATCCACATCAAAGCAATGGGACATGTGTGATTTCTATGACTGTAGGCAACCTCAGGATGACACAGTTGATTGGGTAAGTGTTTCATTTGTATAGCCAGGAAATCCTCTCACATCACACCACTGTTGAAATCAATACATTGGCTCCAAGTGAAGGCTTGAATTAAGTACAACGAACACTGCCCCATGTTATTGGCCAACTCACTACATCCATACAATCTAGCAAGGTGTTTACATTGTCTTCATCAGACAATCAATCTTGTTGAACGAAATGCCAGGATTGAATATTTGCTAAGCAGGCGTTCGCTAATTACAATTCCAAATGGAATTGCAATGCTTCTAGAGAGGTACATTTTGGCATTAGAAGTCTTTCTATTCATGTAAACATTCACTAAAAACATACATTTTTAATCATTTATATTAAGTTTTATTTTATAATGTGCAGTTTTGACTCTTGAACCAATTATTATATTTTTTGTACTCTATTTGTTGTAGTTTTTTACTCTCAATAAGTTATGCACCTGAGTCCTGTTTATGAGAATAGGTTCAATACAAAGTGATATCGTTGTACTTTCAGTATGCAAAACTAGTCATTAGTATGTGAAAAAAGGATGTTTTGATACTGTCTATTAAGTTATCCTTTTCACCACCAGTTTCCTCTTTTCATCACAAATTCACAAAATAGTCCCGTTTATAGTCTGCACTTTTCTTCAGAACAATGGGACAAAAATAGGCAAATTTTTTGGATAAAAACCAAGAATTTACTAAAATTTTGTTTGCTCGCTCCAAAATTAGAGTTCATTTCCAGAAATATTGAAGAATATAAGAAGAAAGTGCAAAAAAAATTGGTCCATGGTATAAATATTATATTTAATATTTATGGATATCTTTTTTTTCTTACACAGGTACAGTGTGATGACTGCGACGGTTGGTATCACGTTCATTGCGTTGGATGTAACGTTAATGCAGTCAAAGATCCTCATGTGGGCTTCCATTGCGGGTGTAACTAACAATACTTTGCATCTCATATGTACATTATCAGTAAAGAGGTCATGTGATCTGTGGATGGCTTGAGGTCATCTGATTTACAACACAGCTTACAAGCTACCTCAGTATTACTGTAAGGGACAGACACATTTTTCTGCGGGGTGGGAGGGTTATAATTGGGAGACAAAATTGCTGAGAAATGATAACTGCATGAATTAAGACACAGCATCTGTACAAAACCCTCTCTTAACTTTTTTCTGTAAATGAAAAATCAGTCTGAAATTTCTAAACCCACCACCCCCAGCAGATGTACTGTCAATCCCCGAGGTGAGATATCTTCTTACATGGTCAGTACATACCTACACTTTGTGAATCGGTTTACTCAGACAAATATTAATTTACATAATTACAATGTGTAATCCATTATGTCTTCAATATATCTGTTAAACTGATTTGCACCAATTAGTCTTGTGAAATCGGTTTATATTATTTTACATCGCGTACAAGACTTGAATGATGAAGTGATCCTGCATCAAATCAGAACTTTACACTGCCAAAGTTTTTATAGATTTTCCACTGACCATGCAACTGCCATATTTGCTCACACTGGTAATTCAGCCAGTCTAATCCTCATATTACCCGGTACAGTTAACTTTAACCACATGTTTATCACTGCCAAATTGTTTACTTTTCAAGAGATTGTCTTATTTCACTGCCATTGTATATATTTAGTTAGTTTTTTTTAATGTAAATTGTAATAACATTGTGTATATATGTTTTATAGGTATTCATCACATGCATGTTGGGTTATACAACAGTTTTGATAATGGTAACATTGATGCTAATAGTAACTAATATACTGTAAAAGGGTTCATTATTCACTGGGTTTTAATTTTGCTGACTGGAAAATGTGCTAAATTAAAACCCAGTGAATATGTAAAATTAAGCATAGAACACATTATCTGAATGATAAAATCGTAAATTTAAAACCCACTGAATATGCCTGAAATGGTAAATCAGTGACATTTAAACCCAGTGAAAATTAGTCATCTAACAGTATGTCTGTGATTTTACACACAAATGCCTGTTGAGAGCGAGGTAGTTGAGACTTATTTTCACATCACAAATATTGTTTTATTCTCTTGTCATCATGTCCACTGTTTAATGGATCTATATAACCAAATGGAGTAACAGAAACAAATCTTGTGTATCTGTCCCTTTTAATGGCATCTTGGCGGCCATCGGCTTATTAAAATATTACCGCCCCATGTAAGGGTGTCTGCCATTGTCTTCCTAATGTTAGGTAAATGCCTTTTTGCACTTTGTAAATGCCCATAATAGGTAATCATATCCTTTATTATTATGTTAAATAAAACCTTTGTGCAAAGACAATAGAATGTTCACACAAGACAATAGAATGTTCACAAAAGACAGTAGAATGTTCACAAAATACAGTAGAATGTTTATAATAAGACAATCAAATACTTTAAAACTCACAGAAGACAATAGAATATTTACATAATACAATAAAGATGACTTGCATGATGCAACTTATTTTTACATTCTTTGGACTTTCACAACATGTAAACATGCATGTGATAAATGTTTAACCCGACTGTAATTTTTGTCTCGTTGTTGATGACAAAATGTGCTGAGACTAGCCCAGTAATCGTTGTAGTTCATAATGATGCAATAAAAATGCATGGTCATTATGTCAAAAATAATGTAAAGTTTAGATTAATAGTCATCCTTTATTTTGTTTTCAATACATAGTTAATCTTGTGTAATTTATTTAGGAACATGAAGGAGATTGTGACAATACTTTGATCACATGTCAACCTACATCCCATAATACTTTGATCACAGGTCATTCTGCATCCCATAATACTTTGATCACAGGTCAACCTGCATCCAATAATACTTTGATCACAGGTCAACCTGCCTCCAATAATACTTTGATCACAGGTCAACCTGCATCCCATAATACTTTGATCACAGGTCAACCTGCATCCAATAATACTTTGATCACAGGTCAACCTGCATCCCATCATACTTTGATAACAGGTCAACCTGCATCCCATAATACTTTGATAACAAG